ATGGGAAAGAGAGAGTAGAATCTGGGGAGACAAAAGATAAAATCCATATGGGATTATTGCTGAGGCTTCCCATGCCATACAAAATATATTCCACATAGGCATTGGCACAGGCTGCTCTCTAGGAGCACAGGACTGTGACATGGGACACAGGCACCAAGCAGAACAATTGCCATGGTACAGATCAGTTCGGCTCACACCAGCCTTCTCCATGGATAGGAGTAAACAGTTTAAAATGCTTTGAAAAACATTCTCATATCTCACAGCATTTTAACTATATTCCCTGGCTATCCTACAAGCTGGGAATAAAAGATTCATACCATTATTTCCCAGCTGTAACCATTCTGACATAAAGATGAGGCCTCAGGAACACACTGTAAAGCTAACAAGCTCATTTATAGTTGAGACCAAATATTAGACAACAGAAGAAGCTGTGTATTTTCACAGTCACCACAGGACCACTCTCTCCAAAGCTCTGAAACTGTTTTGGAAAGTAATGATGTTTTTTGATAGAGGTCAAAAGCCAAGTGTTGTGCAGACTGCTGGAGCCTGGCAAGTTGCAGAGCAACAACCTCAGGGCTGATTTGCTGAGACATGGAGCATTTATCTGTTTCAGAGACGTACATGGAGCTGTCAGTTCTCACTGCTCACACAGGTCACATCCAGCACGGTTCTTCCATTGCCACACAGTAAGACACTGGAAAGCGCTCTCAGGGCTCCTAGTTTGTAATTTTCACAGGTCTCTCTCGCTTACTGTATTTCCTGAAGTTACTCATTTTGGTATTAACATGTATATTAAAAAAACCCATGTAAAATTAAGTTATGAATTTTGGTATTAACATGTAAATTTTTATTCTCATTATCTCCAATAATTTGCAATCACACTCAATTTGCAAATCCCTAATCAAGTAAGCTCTTGTCTCCTTCCTATTAGAAGAGAAGCTCCCTTCTCTCACCATCCTTCAGGATACAAGTAACATCTATCTAAGTAAAGGACAGTCACATGTGCAAATGACAAAGATGGAAAGAAATCCATCGCTGGATTCCAAGGTGATTGCAATCACCTGTTAACCCAATCCACTTCTCCCTTGTAAGCTGAAAATCCTTCTCTTCCTTTTAATAGCCATTTTCCTTCACTCTCATAGTAACTCACCACTGATGATCCACAACCGTCAGACCCTAAGGTTCACTTCTGAACAGTCGGCTGCTCCCCCCTGCCAGTAACACAGCACAACCCTAGCTTCTTACCTCACCTTCTGAGCCCTCTCCTCCCTTCCAAAAATAAAAGCATGGGAAGAGGGAAGGCATCAAGCTGTTCTTTAGATCACAAGCTCTACCAAAGGTGTCATTTTATTGCTTTCTTCCACAGCAGCTTTGTACACTCACTATGAACTAAAGGAAAGTTATTCTCTTCTTCCTACCGAGGCACTAGCAGCAACCTGCCCTCTTCCTTTGTTCAAGGTAGGAGAGGATGCACTGCATGTGCAAGTACCACTCCCTCCCTTCTGGAAGGAATCTGGAATCTCTTTGTGGTAGCCAGCTGGCCTAGTGCAGGACCCTACACAATGGAAGCAGAAGGCTTCTGAATTACTATGATCATTCACTGCCACGTACATCCTGCCGAACTCCAAGGTGACTGTCACATCACACGAGTGATGGGCTTTTAAAATGCTTTTTATAAAATATCTACAATATCTACAAGATAGCACAAACAATTCTTCCTTTGAACTAGGAACTCAAAGTGGTTTTATTTTCATGTTGAGAGTGTCCTTTAAAGGTGGTTTTAAGGGGTCTGGCAGCAAAACTAAGTGAACAGAAAAGACAACAAGGTATTATGTATGTGGCAGATTAATAGATTGTAAGTGAAGAGCAGAAGGACAACGTCTAGCCAGAAGCCATTACAGTAATCGAAATGAGAGATGACTAATGAATGAACTAAGTGCACCCATAGCAAAAAAGCTGTCTTCAGTCTCTGTAAGCATTTTGCTGAACAAATTAAACTCACCAGACCTGACAACTCACTAACATGTAAAAAGCTTGTGAGAGGCCCTTCCATCGGAATCTGCTAGATCTTCCCAATCAGTCCATCCTACTTCGCTACAGCTGCAAAACACTGCACGCTGCATCTTCTCTGCCTGGCTGCTGCAGTCTCCTCCTTCCTCACTTTGCTATAACATTTCTTGTGCTGCCTTTTAAATCAAGCTGGAATATTATAACAAAATTCATCAACTGCACCAACTGTGCCTGCTTCTCTCCTGCCCCTTTCTGAGCAAATTC